TTATTATTAAATTTTCCAATAAAAAATTATGAGACGTATATGAATAAAGCTTACTCTTAATTGACACCCTATTTAATTATAGGTTACAATTCATTCTTTTCTCATATGTAAGTTTTATTTATAATTTGATTTTTGACTTTAAATAAATATAGTTTGAATTAATAGCATGCATATCAATTTGTTACACACCCTTTCTTTTATAAATTTGACATATTTTTTCCAGTTATCCTTACCTTTTAAAAAGTATAAGAAAATACTTATGAAAAGGGTGAGGACAATTATATCCTTAAAAATGTTTGTTTACCAATACGTCCCTATTAATATGATGTTAATTGCCTTTAAGCCTTTCATTGTTTGATTTAATGATTTACTCTTATGAATAGTATTTAGACAATTATAAGTTTATAACCTCTAGAATGTTTATTTACTTATTTGCCCTTATTAATGTTAATTAATTTTGTTAATTCTTAAGAATAGTGTGCGGACATTTATATCCATAATTTTTTTTAATCTATTTTTCCTCATTATGTTGCCAACAACTAAAAAAGCTCCCCAAATTTGGCTCGCATCGCACGTGTTAGCCACCATAATTTATGAAAAATTAGTATCCAATTGTAAGATGCCATTTATTTGTTTCTATATCAATAAATGCAATCATGATTTTGCTATTCTATATGAATTATGTTTATTGTTTTTTTGTCTTCCTTTTACGGAAATTATGTTTATTGTTTGAAACATCAATAATTGTATAAAATTTGCTAAATAAATGTTGATTTTTTTAGGAAATTTTGTATATTATCACATAAATAACACACATTTTGATATTACCACCCAAAAAAAATTTATTTTAAATTACCACCCCATAAATTAAATAAAAATTTAAATCACCACCTTTTGCCTCATTTTGGTCTTTTTTCCGATTGGGGATTCAAGCTAGAACCGCAGTTAGTAGTAGTGGTTCTATTTAAAATAAAAATTAGTGGTTCTATTTAAGCTAGAATCGCAATTAGTAGTAGCGGTTTAATACAGGCAAGGATTAAAAAAAAAAAAAAAAAAAAAAAAAACTGAACCTCGTAACCGAGCTGACGTGGACAGTACGGTGGGAATTATTTTTTAAACCAACGTATATACGGAATTAATTTTCTTTTTAACATTATCTACGGAAATCACTCGTGGTAATTGATTTTTTGGGTGATAATATCAAAATGTGTGTTATTTACGGGTGTTAAAATACAAAAATTCCTTATTTTTTTTTATTTATTTTTATTTTTTATGTTTACTGTTTGAACATCAATAAGTGTTGTTTTTCTTTTTTTTTTTGTTTTTTTTGGGTGATATATATGTTGCATGTTGATTGGCTATTGACCATTGGCAATGGGCCCACTTTGTTACATTTCGGATTTCCATTCGTCATTTGAAATGTGGTATGCATACCCGCTCGTAAGCATGTTGATCTTGCTATATATAGTGTGGGTGGGTAGGTGCTTGAGAGAATAAACAATGCATGAATATGTATAAATTTATAATTGGTTCACCATATAAACATGAGTTGTATACTTGTATACCTTATTGTTTGAAAACCGACCACTTCTAGGTTAGTGATCTAGGCAACGGTCAAATAAGTCGTAACATTTGATCTTTGGTGGCATCTAGCTTAGTGATAACAATTAACAAATCGACCAACTATGATAAAAACTAGATGAATTATAGCAACGTAATTGATTCTCTCTAATAACAACACTTAAGAACAGTGAGAATAGAATAGGAAAAAAAAAAATAAAGTTCAGTTATAATTGGAGATCATGAATATTTATAATATCTTGTGAAGCGCAAATTTTAAGGTGAACCATGGTGCACCTTCCTCTACATGGTCCAGGTATAAAACGACATTGTTTTAAATATCTTTTTTTGTCTCTCACTTTCTTTTTTAATTTGATCGAAATTACTCATCTAATTGATCAACGAATTTGAATCGGCACCGATACAAACAAGCGAACTGCTCGTAAATTTCAACGCAGAGATTCGAAGCTTGATTTTTGGAGTATGTGATTCATATTTTGGTGGAAATGCTCCCATTTTTTTATATCTATAAATTTATTTAACAATCAATTGGTTGTATTGAATAGGAGAGAGAAAAATGGAGGAAAGAGAAATTGAAGGACAATGAAAAGAGAAAAATGGAGGAGAGAGAAAATTGCTAGTTTCTTTTCTTTTCGTCCTTCGTGAAATTGTACATTTTTTAATCTTAATAGATGAGAGTAGATTTTGGATATAATTTAATATGATTAGGTACTATGTCAGTTTGTTATACTATGTATTTAGCCTTTACTATTTGAATCTGAAAACATAAAGCTATTACGAAATGAACACGAGTACAATATTTACAACATGTAGTTTTAGAGTGAACATTGTTCAATTTAATTTGAACATTGTATCATGTAGCTGTAAAATGAACCACATACAATTGGTATATGGGTGTGTATATCAACCAATTTAATTTTCCTTGCCTAATAGTTTAATTTATAGGAAAATTGCTTTAAATAATACCACATTTCACCTGTCCGTTAAAAAAAGTCGATCTTTTGATTATCTTTAAATAATACCACCTTTGGGAGGTGTCAGCTTTAAACAAGTTGTAACATGTTAGTATCAATTCCTGACATGGTATCAGAGCCTCTACATTCTAAACCCTAACCCTAAAAAGAAACTCTAATCGACATGAATGACGAAGGTAAGATTGATCCTTCTTCTTAAACTATTTTTGGTCAAGAGTCACCATTTTCTAAACTTAATTAATTAGGATAATTTGGTTTTGTAATGAATGGTTATGATTATCTACCTTTATTCGTAGGAAACTACATACCGGTTACACACTCGCCCGATCGGGAGAATAAACTGACAAAAGTGAAACTTCACTCTACCCGCGCCCAATCGAGCCTTACAAGTTACAATCATCAGAAAGCATGTTTGGGTTAATGTCTTACAAGTTACAACCATCACGAGATTTTGGGTGTGCGCCTAATCAGGCTACGATCAAACTATTTGTATTCTAAATATGTGGCGCATCCATTTGTGGTCAAAGTTCTTAGTTTGGCTTCTGTTAAAATTTGATCACGCTCCAAATATTTAAATTTATACACTTGTTTCAAGTTATAGTTCTTTTATTTCACCAATACGAGACTTCCTTCCCAACATTTGATCAAGTTAAATAGAATAAACTAACTTCTTCTATATAGACTAAACTGTATAAACCAATTTCTAATGGTAGACTTATTTCCCATCAATAACTAACTACATAATGCACTTATTATGAAGACTACTCTAACAAGTCAGGCACTTGTCCCAATAATTAAAAAAACTTTAGCAAATTACTCTACTTATTAGAAGCGGGCGTTGAGTCAGCAGATCGAGTCAAGCAGCTCAAGCGACGTGTGATTGAAGTTATCGGAGATGGAAGATACTATACTCGTATGACTTATGATGCGTTATATATTTAGCAATATCCACGCACTTGCATTTGTTGATTATTGAAGAGCACATCTGTATACAAATGGGCAAATGGGAGAAGGAATATTCTTGTACTAGTCAATTTATGGTTTAGTTGAGCATATATAAAGCCCCGAATCCATGTCATAAAGTCACAACCACACTTAAACCAAGTAGTGGACCTTGATTTTTCTGCCACCCAAATCCTTATCTTTTAATAAAACACCAAATTTTTGTAATGAGTATGAGAACACTACTAGATAGAAATCAAGAATCCAAAGAAATTAAGTGGACTTTTGAAAGCGACTTTCCATGATTATAATAGCTTAGGTGGCATCTTGTTGGCATGGAATTCTCTAGAGAATTAGACACTTTAATTTGAACAAAGAAAATATAAATTATTTTTGAAGCTTATCTATAATGTGAAAGTTTGAACAAATAAGGGTGAATTGTAAAACACAATACTCAAAAGAATTGATACTTTATATGCTTAGTATGGAGTAACAGATATGTATATACAAACATGGATTTAAAACGTTTATATACTTTCATATAACGAGATTAATCACACCAAATTTCATATATAGACAACTTAATTAACACAAGATGACAAGACCAATTGTGCATGCTTGCCTGCATGGCAGTGATGCACACAATCTAGACTAGCACATGTTTAGTGCCTAACATATAAAAATGACTTGTATGGAGTGCTTTCTACATGTTACCATATGGGGGGAGACTAATGTGTTTTGTGTATAGTGTCAAAGTGAAATTAATGTGATAATACATAACAATATCATAGTCACTTCATTACGAATCCAGATCACGTATACAATGTACAACTCGCACAATGGTACATGTATGTGAAGTGTATATATATAGAAGCAAGTTTATAAGACACACCACATTTGCCTACTTCCGGTTAATGAGGCTTAAAATTTGCAGTAAGAACAAAGTCAATGTAAGGATGTATTAGGTACTAATATAGTTATAAATATACTAAAAAAAATGGCTAATTACAAGCTGCTGAGTTAAGAAATTTATATTAATTTTCAGCTCAACTGCTGCATGGTTCACAAGCTTGTCGTCTAACAATTGTTTTTAATATCCTTCATCAGTTATGGTCAACCAATTATATTGGAATATTTGACAATTTTTCTTGCATATGACTCCTATCAAAACTATTGACCAATCATTTTAGCAGACCTTGACTTTTAAACAAAGAAATTTCTAAATTAGGAAGGTAAAAATTCAGTTGAATCCCCTTAAGAAAATGAAAACAAAGATTGCATTCCTCTATTTAATCTTACTTTTTGATCATCGAAATAATTTAATATTAATTCAATACGCGCAGAGAAAATAGGATCAACCTAATTCATCCTTTGAGAATTCTAGATGATTAGTAACAAATCTAAGTCAAAATCGAGCCGAATACAAGTGACATCTATTGGCAAAGAAGTAACAATGTACTGTATTTACAATTGCAACTTTGCAAGAAATATTACCCAAACAAATTGATCAAAAAAGAGAGTTACCATTTATAAAAACATAGAACAAAATTACAGGGGAAAAAGATTATATTACAAAAACACCCAATTTTTTTGTATAAATGAAAAAAAAAAAAAAATACTCCACATTATCATTTATTTAACAGTGGAAGCAACAGTGTGAGCCCAAAATCTGAGATAATCTTTCATTTGAACTTGATTTTCAGGAGCAGGAACCTTCCAATTAAACACATAATTTTCTCTTCTCTTCTTTTCCAATTCTTCCCATGCTTCTGATAAGTAAGGCCTTGAAATTGAACTACTGTCATGACTATTGTTATTATTATCGGTATCAGTACGGCTGCATATATCTTTATCCTTTTCGCGAGTCTGTTCGCTACAGTTTTTTAACCTATGTAACCCAGGAATAATAGTAGCCAAACTTGAATCCTTATCTTCTTCAGAGAAAACAAAACCCAGATCAATAAACCCTTTTAGCTCTTCAAATTCAAGGTCTGATAAACTTTTGCTCAAATTCTTCTTTTTCTTTATTCTTCCCAAATTACCCTTCAATGGAGTACACCCAGTTTTTGGGGTTGTAACGGTAACTTCTGGGATTTCAAAATCTGCTGAAATTCTCCCAGAAAATATAGTTTGAAGTTTTGGGGAAAAAAGTACAGAATTTGGAGATGCAGAAGAAGAATCACTTAGTTTTTTTTGTGGAGAAGAATTTGAGCTGATTTTTCTTTCAGCTGATTTGGTATGAATTGTTGGGAGGGTTGGAAGTTCTGGATTTGATGGGGGTATTTCTGGGATTTTTTGAATTTTAGTGGGTTTTTTCTTGCTGAATAAATCATGGTCAAACCAATAAGTGTCATAGAGTTTAAGGAGAGTTTCAGGCTCCATTAATGGTGAGGTTGAAGCTTTTTTTTGTGAAAAGAGAGAAAATGGTGAAAATTGGGTGTGTATTTTCTTGTGGGGGATGGTGGAATGAAGAAGGATGGAGAAAGGGTATTTATTTTGATAATTTTTGTTGACGAAAAAGCCCTTTTCGATGTATAATTTCTCATAGAAAGGTCAAATTGTCAACAAGTTATTAAGAGTAGGTCCTTGGTCTTTTAAGTTGATTACACGCTTTGCACTATGTGATTAGATTAATGGCCATGTGAAAAAAGTTTGGGTATGTTTTCTTTCATTTTAATGAACTTATTTTAAACAAAGCTTATACAAAATAAATTTAAATAGTAAGTTAAGACACACAATCGGTGAAACTAAGTTAATATTTGTTAAAACGAGTTAAATTAAACACACCAATTAGAAAATCCTGACAATTCGGTCATTCAGGTCGGTTATGGGTCAGGTTAAAGTGCAGTCAAGTCTTTTTGGGTTTCGATATGATTGGGCCAATATATAATCGAGTTAGGTAAGATATTAGGTCGAGACTTCGGGTTGGGTTGAGTTTCGGATCGAGTCGTTTTCAGTAGGTAATTTCAAGTCAAGTTCATTTCAAATCTAGTAAATCTCGAAACAAGAGATTTATTGTTGTCGTTGTTATTATTGATATTGTAGTTACTCTGTATTATCGTTACTGTTATCATCATTTTTATTTTTATTGTTTTAAAGGTTATTTTGGCTGTTAGGTAATATTCGTTTGAGTCTTTTTGGTCCACTTCGAGTATCAGGTTATTTGGGTGAATTAATTTGGGTAATAATTAAGTCAGGTCACTTCGGGTATTGAGTAACTTCAGGTTGGGTAAAGTTGAGTCACTTTGTGTATCAGGTCAAAAGTGGGCCAACTCCACTTCAGCTTGGTCAGGTCATTTTGGGGTTTTGGGCTGTTTTGGGTCCAGATTCGATTTCAGATTGCTCAGATTAGGTATTTCGGGTTCAGTAATCGGGCACAACTCTCTTTTACTCAACTTATTTTGACTATAGGTGCATTTTATTCACCTTGTTTTATTTTCACTTGTTTGAAATAAAATGAGCTAACCTAACGTACTTGGATTTGTTAGAATATACTAAGGGGGTGTTTGGTATAAACATTGTAAATGAAACGGAAAGGATTCAAATAAATAGGGGAAAGGGTAATGATAAATGTTACCTTACTATATGTTTGGTATTCTAGTGGAATGAAAACAATTTAAATGGATTGTGATTGAGTAAAGAAACGTATTTTGTTTCCACTAGTTTGTCAAGGGTAACAAATAAGGGAATTTGGTTACCCTTAGGAAACGCTATTTGTTACTTTTAACCCATACCAAACAACTAAAAATGAAAAAACTTAATTAAATCCGTTTCCTACGTCTAAAATTACTATACCAAACGCCCCCTAATTATATAATATATATTGTAAATTGAACTATTGAATCCTTATTATCTTTTGTGAGGAATTGTATTCATTTGATCGAAGAAATGTCAACAAATATATTTTGAGTATATATGTGCTAATTCTATTTGGGCAACCCTAGAGTTCAAGAAAAGGATAGATTCTTGAGTACGGGTCAATATCAAATCAAACAAGTATTAGGTTCGGGTCAAATTTGGACAAGTAATCGAGTCACATGGCTTTAACATAAGTAGCTATCTTGATTAGATAAATTATGAGTTCAATTAGGTTTGATTATTAACTGGTTGGATTAAATTGAATTTGCGTTATTTTGGGTCAACTTGAAGTGGGTTTGGATTACCTCGAGGGGATTTGGTTATCATATAAAATCGAGCTGAATTACGTACCAACAAATTCAATAGAATTTGGATTTAGGTTGACTTAGGATCGATTTAGAATAATATGGATCAGATTTTGGGTACGATTATATTAAGTTAGTTCCGATTGGATCTCGTGTTTTATAGGATCTCGGGTCAATTACATTTGTTCTCAGGTTAAATCGGAATTTCAATTTGTTATCGGTTGGATTAGACTTTTGTTCAAGTCATAATTGTCACATTCGAATTGGATTTTGGGTTTCTACAAGACGATTTGTTACGAATCAGGTATGACTCTCCAATCCTGATATTAAATATATTAACAAGAATTTTTATTGTTTCGATTTTTTTTTTGTCAACAATTTTAAATTTGTTCCCAGTACTATTAATCGTTTTCTATTAGAATAAGAAGAAGAATAAAGTCTAATGTGTTTCTTATATTGCACATTGTAGGTATTTCTTAGCTTTTATGGAGTAATAATATGATCCTCACTTATTATTTACACTTTTCTCCCATGTGTATAAATTGCTATAATTGCACATGTACACGGAGGGGTGTCAATTTGAATGATCGAATCTGGTTCGATGTGGTCGGGTTGGATCAATTCTTAAAGTTAAATCATACTAACTTAGTGTGTCCACACGAGTCGAAATATGAATCAGATATTTTTTGGGTCAGTTTCGGATCAGATGTAGTTTTAACTAACAAAAAAATCACTGATATAACCTAAAAGAACAGGGATCGAGTAAAATTTTTTGGACAAAATGCTTAGATAGGTTAGGGAAAACAAGGTCATTTTACTAGTCATACTAAACGTTATTACTGTTAGTCAGTGACAAACAAACTCAACTTTATATAGTCAGGGAATATTTAATAGTTCAGCTATTAACATGAAACACGAGCTGAATTGGTGCCATACAAATTTCATCTCTTATTGGTGTCGTTATGTCAATTGTCTTATTAATTCTTCTTCATGTCAACTCCAATAGTCATATTTTCTCACTTATTTTTTATTTTATATTTAATTCTAAAGAAAAGCCAGCCTGGCAACGTGACTCCAACAAGAAGAAGCATTATTGTTACCTTGACTTTTTAAAGGAACAAAAAGAAGAGGCATATATGCACATTGATCTTGTGAACTCAACGGATCTGAGGAGTTGTAGGGTGGGTTGGGGAGTAATATAATAGAGTATGTTCTACTCCGTTTACAAGAAACTTGATACACATCATACGAGAGTGTTAAAAAATAAACTAAACATACCAAATACCAACGAGATTTGTTTGGGAAAAGATATATCCTATCTTTTATGCTTTCCTAGTTAGATGAGGATTGTAAATAGGAAATTAGATAGATTTTATATATATAATCAATCTAGGATTATTTAGGCTTGAGAAGCAAGTAAAATATCCTAATTAATGTGGGTTTCTATGTTAGCCTATATAAGAGGGTTTAGGCTTACTAGAAAATTATGATGGTTTTATTGAGGAGGAAAATCATCCAGAGAGTTATTATTTTATTTTGTAGGAACTTAATAAAACAATATTTTGTTTGAGGGGGAGGAAATCTAAATTTCTCTCATACACCTTGTCTCTTTTATTAATGTGTGACATGCTCGTCTAGGACATAATTCTTCTAGGGCCATAGGACATTTGTGTTCAAATAATTTTATTACCTATAGTTTTAAGTTTAAAGATGATTGTGGTTGTTGCAAACTTGGAAAAATTCACAGGCGAGGTTACCTTTAGAGAATGTTGATTATATTTTACCTTATCCTTTATATTTGATTCATAGTGATTTATGGAAATCTCCTATTTTATCAAATCAATCCTTTAAATATTACATATCTTTTGTTGATGATCTTTCTGGCTTTACTTACGATTGAAATCTGAAGCGTAGGAAAAATTTAAGGTTTTTCAAACGACGGTTGAGAATTTATTTAATTCAAAGATAAAAATTTTCCGGAGTGATGGAGGGCGTGAGTTTGACAATACTCTGTTACTTCAACATTTCGAGGACTCCGGGATTTTGTTCCAAAAGTCTTGCCATGGAACACCTCAAGTACCTACCCTGCTACCTCATTCTCCCCCATTGAATGAGTCCACCCATCTTAGCCTACCTCATTCTCCCCATTTGTGTGAGTCTACCCAGACTAGTCCACCTAGCCCCCCTCACGGGGAGATATCTCCTGGAACTTCTGGTCAGCAATCTGCACATGTTCATGGGATCCAATTCCCTGCACACACTTTGCAGTCCTCTGGCCACCACACCTTGCCCATGTCCCCTAGTTCGATCTTGTCACCTTCAACACCCATTTCCCCTTCTTCTGTTTCTACTGTGTCAGTTCCTTTAGCAGAGTCACCTCCCCCTTCCACTGGTATCTCTGCGTCATGTGCGTCAAATACTCATATTATGACTACTCGTTTTAAAAGACGGAATTTGGAAACCTCGTAATTTTCTAAATCTAAAAACAGGGGTCATTGAAACACCACCTAAGTCTTACAAAAAGGCAACTAAGGACCCTCGTTGGTGCGAAGCTATGGCCGAAGAGTATAATGCTATGATTACCAACGATGCATAGGGGTTAGTACCTCGCAATTATGATAAAAACTTGCTCGGTTGTCAGTGGATTTATACAATTAAAACTGATTCCAAAGGATATGTGGTGCGGTACAAAGCTAGACTGATCGTTCTCGGAAATCATCAACAGGCAGGTATTGATTACTTTGAAACCTTTAGTCTAGTTTTTAAGCCTACTACTGTTCGCTTAGTTCTTACTATTGCTGTCACTTTTAAATGGATAATTCATCAGTTAGACGTTAAAAATGCTTTCTTCATGGTTACTTGAATAAAGAGGTGTATATGTGACAACCTCCAGGTTTTGTTGATTCTTCCAGACCTCATCATGTTCTTAAGCTCAAAAAGTCCATTTATGGTTCAAAACAGGCCCCTAGGGCATGGTTTTCTAGTTTCAGCAATTTTCTTTTATCTATTGGTTTCAAATGCAGAAAGAATGACACTTCCATGTTTACTCTTAAATACAGGGGTCACATTAATATTGTTATTCTTCTTTTTTATGTTGATGACATTATTCTTACTAGTAGTAATCCATATTTGGTGTCTAAGTTTGTCAGACTTTTGTCTTCCCAATTTGTTATGAAAGATTTGGGGGATTTGCATTATTTCCTTGGTATTCAGGATGTGCGCACTCCTACAGGTTTGATGTTATCTCAAGAGAAATATGTCCTAGAACTAATTCGAAAATATCACTTGCACACATCAAAACCTGTTCGCACACTTGTTCAATCTACAGTCTATTTGTCTCTTTTAGATGGGGAACTCCTTGCTGATCCGACTGAATATCGTAGTATGATTGGTGCTTTGCAATATTTGTGTATGACACGTCCTATGCTGTTAATTTGGTGTCCCAATTTATGCATGCTCCTCGTATTACTCACCTTCATGCTGTGAAAAGAATTTTTGGATATTTGGTGTCCCAATTTAGGCCTGTTTCTTTATTCTACAGGCACTCCTACTATTGTTATAACATATTCTGATGCAGATTGGGCTGGATGCCCTGATGATCAACGGTCTACAACAGGTTATGCTGCTTTTCTTGGGAAAAATTTAATTTCTTGGCATTCAAAGAAGCAACCTACAGTTTCAAAGTCCTCCAATCCACTGAAGCTGAGTATCATGCAGTTGCATATACAATGGCTGAAACCATATGGCTACGACAATTATTAGCTGATCTTGGTTATTTTCTGCGTCGTCCAGTGATACTATATTGTGATAATGTATCAGCTACATATCTTACAGCTAATCCAGTCAAGCATGATCGCAGTAAACATATTGATGTTGATTATCAATTTGTTCGTGTACTCCTACCCATTTGCAGGTTGCAGATTTTTTTACGAAAGGCCTTACAAATGATTTGTTTGTAAATATCGTACCAATCTGTCCGTAGTTGCACCCCGTAAAGATTGAGGGGGTGTGTTAGGGTATTTATACATGTAAAGGACGGAATGGTATTTTCATGGTATTTTGTCTTATGTATTTATCTATATATATATATATATATTGCGAGACTCTCTATTGAGGGTGAGTCGTATTTTCCCAAACACTCGTACACATAGTTTGACTTAAATGGATTGTTTAATCCATAACAAAAATACAATTTTACAAAAGTGGATTGTTTAATCTATTTGATAGTAATGTGAAATATATATTATTGCTCCTGAGATGATACAAGTAATACTTTATGAAGTTTTTATTTTTATTTATTTTTATTTTAACATTACATTGTTATTAATTTGTATGTTGCCAATGGATAGTGATGACCCCACAATCTTTAAAATCTAAAGATCCGCCACTGACTACCAACATAATTTTGATTTAAAATAATATTTTAAAATGAAAAAATAGAATTATATATTTTTCAATAATGTTGGGCATATTTGTCAATGCATATAATTTTTTAAAATTATCAATTATTACTTTAAACAACACTTTGAGGCTAATTGAATATATAAAAATTTTAAGTAGTAATATTTGATTTTATATAATAGCTTAGTTGAAAAGTAAGTCTAAGTGAGGCATATGTGAATTAATTTTGTATATGTCAAATTCAAGCTTGTACACAATATTTATGTTTTTATAATATAATAAAAAAGAATAGGGTTATAAACAAAATTTAAACCCAAAATATATGTTATCACTTTTTAATACGGAGTACTTTACTGACTAAACCTAACTGACAATAATATATATATATATATATATATATATATATATATATATATATATATATATAATGAATGCACTATCGCATCGAGACTTCACTTCTGTACAAGTAGTATGTAAATCTCTTAACCTAATTCATTTTACTCAAGTACTTATTTCAAATAAAGCAAAAGCAAAGAAAAGGAAAGGTGACCCAATGAGCAAAGAATTACATGTTTAGAATGCGTTGCATGGACACATAAAAGTGGTATGTACCACTTTACATTGCATGAGTATACAGAGTAACGGTGTTTATGTTGTGGTCATCCACATTACCATATGTTTATTCATTGTCTCTATATCTTGGTTTTTATGTAGACATACTTTGTTAAAGGTGTCCCTCATATATTGCATGATGTTGATGTCTTAAACTTACTTGCCACAATTTATTAGTGGCCAAATTTTAAGTTGTTATGTCTCTATCAAAGTTGAGGGGTGCACCACCTAATTTAATCATGCAATTAAATAGTAGACAAATATGGATGGCTATATATTGATGATGTTTCTTTCTTTGAGTTTCTTTGAAGTTACTCTAGTTCTTTATAAAGTTTTATTGTGTTCCCACTTTTCAATTTCTTTGTAGGACTTGAGGGTGGTTCATCATTTTCACAAAATTGCATCTATCAATTAGTCGTTTTTATTGGTTATTAAGGTTAAGGGGGCAATGAGCTACTCCCCTTATTGCCATATAGTTTTGAGGTGAAACCTACTTAGTTGTATAAAGTGGATACTTGTGACGGGTGTGGCCCAGACCCGTTTATCAGCTAGTTGTCTCATTGATAGATCTTCCTCACGTAATGAAATAAATTATTCACATGGTTATATCCACTAATAATCACCATAATTTTCCCCATAAATGAATATTTTTGACTTAATTATGTAATTTATTAGCCTACATATATGAACCAATATATCTTAAAGTTGCGTATGAATAACGACCCCCCTTAAGTAGGCAAACAAGCTATGATGCCTTTTTTTTTTTGTAAATTTTTTTTTTTAATTTTTTTTTTTGTTTGTTTGTAATGTTTCTCTGTTCTTAATACCCTTGAGAGTGGGAAGGTAAGGAAATCCCTACCTCAAGGATTGATCTCATAACTTCATAATAGTGAGATATAATCCTTACACAAGCAAGAATATAACTGGAGCACTACTACAATTTCACTTCTTCTTACTTCTTCCTTCACTGATTAAAAAACTTTCTACCGGTAAAATCATTAATACATTATCAGCACCAATTCCTATTCAGGTATATTTATACCTACTTCTCAAAATTATAACAAATAAACACTATCTACTTCTAAATGTTTTGAGCAGTATGCTCTATAGTTGCCCATATTTTGGGATCCTCTATACCAAAAATTCAAACATTTACTGTATCAAAACAACGGTGGAGAAATTCTCTTATTTATGAATTAATTACTATTCTCCCTTGTTTTATTCATGTTGATGTTTTTGTTTAATTCATGCATGTTGATATTAGATGAAGCCTTTTTACACTTATTATTTTTCTTCTTTTACGTACTTTTTGTGTTTCTTTCCGTTTTCGAACCCATGATCTTTTATAGATGTTAGGGCTCTCGGGCCACTATGGCTTGCATTCCCAGTGTGATAACCTTTTACAATTATAAATACTTATATTTGGACCATAATTTTGCCAGTACATTAAACTATGATATGATATTTTTACAATTGTACAAAATAGTAACGGATAAACCTACCTCTATAAAAGACAGATTTTCCCCTGATTTTCACCACAAATCCGTTATCCTTTCCCATTTTTTTTTTCTTTATCCAAAAATCACCCAAAATTTTTCACCCCTTCTTCTCCAATATGTTCCCCGACAGCAACCAAAACACCCACACCTTCACCTTTGAGGAAGATTTAAGGAAGATAAAACAATATTTTCTTCTAATTATGGCGCTTGTAGTTCTGTTAGTAGCAATATTAATTTTTGTCATGATGTACAAGTGAAGTTTGTTTATTTTGTCGTTTTAGTAGATTAAAAGCATGTTTTTGTTTTGTTATGTTGTTTTGTTAATCATCATTGTATAATATTACCGTTATTATAATTATTATTACTACTGTTGTTGTTGTCGTTTTGCTGTTTATGCGACTAATATGATTTAATTTTGCCTAATTATATAAATTACTCACAATAATAAACCAAGGGGGAGAAAGAACTATATTATTTATGGTTTATTATTGTTAAATAAGTTTAATTATCACGTGTTTCATTAACAAACTATAAATATGGAAGAATTAAACATATGTGTTGTACATATGATTTATTATTATAAACTAATTATCACGTGATTTGTTGTAGTTAAAATGGGAGATCTTATGAAAAGACAATTCAACATCCTAGATTTATCTGGAAAGAAATTTTTGGAATGGAAAGTAGATGCCATGATGAATTTAAAAGCTCAAGGGTTGGAGCACACTGTTAAAGTTAATAAAAGTCCCTCTGGTCAAACAATTGATACTACCACTTCTGCAATGACGGTTGAAAAACCTGTTACTGAACAAGAAAAGGCAAAAGCCTTAGTGTTACTAAGGCATCATTTACACGAAGGCCTTAAAACTGAGTACATAATGGTTGAAGATCCCAAGGAATTATGGGATTTGGACACCACAAAAGGGTGCTCCTTCCTAAGGCGTTATTTGACTGGATAAATTTACGGTTCTAGGATTTCAAATTTGTAATTGATTACAATTCAACCATACATGAGATAGTATCTATATTGAGATACTGTGATCATCCAGTCACCGATGAACAAATGATTGAAAAAACACTCACTACCTTTCATCAAGCAACATACTATTGCAAGAATAATATCGTGAAAGAGGTTTTAAAAAGTTTAATGAATTAATGAGTGTATTTCTTGTTGCGGAAGAAAATAATGATCTTTTGTTGAAAAATCATAATCTTAGACCAACTGGGTCTTTGGCCACTCATCATGAAGCAAATGCAACAAGTTCTTATCCACCCAAGGCAAATGCTGCACGAAGAGGTGGATGTGGAAATTACAATGGCCGTGGAAATTATCGCGGACGAGGCCGAGGACGTGGTAGAAATAATTTTCAAAGAAACAGTAATTTCAAAAATTTTGAAAAAAGAAGGGACAGTCGTCTAGAAGCCACAAACAAACTCCTTCAAAAGGAAAAGACACATGTTACAGATGTGGCATGACAGGGCATTGGGGACGTACTTGTCGTACGGCCAAACATTTGGTAGACCTTTACCAGGCTTCTGTAAAAGGTAAAGAGAAAAATGCAGAAGCAAATTATGTTAATGAAGAAAATGCTCCATGTCCTACCCTTGATGTGTCCAATTTGTTTCAGGAAAATGTAAGCACTATTTTCGGGTCAACAAAATTAATTGAAGGATCTGGAAAGGCTTGTATAATGCTTTCAAATGGAACAAACTTGATGATCAATAATGCTTTATACTCGAGTAAATCTCGAAGAAATCTCATAAGTTTTAAAAATGTACGCCAAAATGGCTATCATTTAGAAAAAATTACAACGGGTCAAAAGGAGTATTTATGCCTCACGGTAGGAAAATATGGCAAGAAACACATTTATGAGAAATTGCCAGCATACTCTTCGGGGTTATATCGTATAAACATACGATCCCTAGAAATCAATATGATATCTAACCAGAAGTTAGATGACAAACATTTGATTATACTATGGCATGATCGTTTGGGACATCCAGCAACTGGGATGATGCAAAGAATAGTAGCAAATTTAGTTGGACATTCAATAAGAAATGTCAAAATTCCTCAATCGGATGAATTGACATGCTCTGCATGTTCACTTGGCAAATTAATAATAAGACCATCTATGAACAAAATTGCTATTGAATCTCCGAAATTCTTGGAAAGAATTCAGTAAAAATATTTGTGGGCCAATTAATCCGGCATGTGGACCATTTCGATATTTCATGGTTTTAATTGATGCTTATACACGATGGTCACATGTCAGTCTACTTTCAAGTAAAAATGTTGCCTTTGCAAAATTACTTGCCCAAATTATCAAATTACGAGCACAATTCTCGAATCATACAATAAAGAAAATAAGACTCGACAATGCTAGGGAATTTACATCCCAAACATATAATGATTATTGTATGTCAATTGGAATTGATGTTGAACACCCAGTAGCTCATGTTCATACACAAAATGGTCTAGCTGAATCACTAATTAAGAGATAGCAATTGATTGCAAGACCATTAGTAATGAGGTCAAAATTGCCATCATCTGCGTGGGGACATGCTATAATACATGCAACGACACTAATTAGATTGAGACCTACATCTTATCATAAAGTCTCACC